GAGATCTTAAACAAAGAATCGGAAATCGAGACGTCAAGGAAGAAGATTGAGTGCTTAGAAGCAGAAAATGAGAGACTCAGAGAAGATGTTGAGGTTTTACACAATGAATTATACAGACAGAACCAGAAATATGAAGAGAAAATCAAAGCTATGCAAGCAGAACTCTCTGATATAAAGAAAGCAGTCGCAGAGACACAACAAGAACACGAGGAGGCTTCATCGTCTACCCAAAAACTTGTCGATGTAAGCAGTAATTACAAATCTAGTATTACAAACAAGACATTGAGAAAATCCGCAACGCATAATTACGTTGTCCCCAGTTTTGAAAGTAGTGTTAGTTTTAAGAAAGAAGATATAGTTGGGTCTGTGGAGAGTAATGAAAGGCCTATAAAATCTTGGTGTAATTCTGAAGAAATGGCAGAGAATTCCGATGGGATAATGGGATTCAGATCTCGTGGCCCAAGAATTCCTAAGCCACCGCCAAAACCATCGGCATTTCTTTTATCATCGATTTCATCTTCATCTTCTTCATCATCTGTGGTATCATCGGATTCGGAGGACGGGGCATTGGCCGAGATTTCAAATATTCCTCATCCCCCACCACCTCCGCCTCCACCTCCTCCGCCGCCAGTGAAAGTAGTAGCTACATCATCATCACATCCTCCTTCCCAGTCTAAGGTGGCGCCACGTGCTGCAGCACCACCTCCTCCTCCCCCTCCTCCACCCAAAGGTTCGAAAACAGTGCCAGACAAGGTCAGGAGAATCCCCGAGGTGGTTGAGTTTTACCACTCATTAATGAGGAGGGATTCAAATCCAAGGCGAGATACCACCGCTGATGCTCCGGCGGCAGGAGCGACGGCCAAGGACATGATCGGAGAGATTGAAAATCGTTCTGCACACTTACTAGCGGTAAGTTTTCCGTTTTATTTTTTCGTCATTGATTTTGGGTTTATTTACAGTTGTTGCCACTTACTTCATGCCACGGTCGCTTGAATTGACCTGTCATAGTGTCTTTTGTGGTTGAACTTTTTCAGTTTTCTTGGAATTTTGTTATGTTTTCTTACAACATAAGACAGCACTCAGATTCGAAATCCAAATCAGTAATAATGCAAAAAGGTCGTAATTGAACAAAATCATGGGGGTATTTAAGACATTTAAAAATTTACGTCCAACTTTTAGTTTACTTCTTAAAAGGTTAATCTTATATCGGACTAACTCCAACTTTGATTACACCTTTGTGACAGTATAGACAAATGTTTAGTTAGTTGTTGAGAAATTTGATCAAGGTCGATAAGCTGTTTCTAAATACTTTACTTGCAGATTAAGACAGATGTTGAAACACAAGGAGATTTCATTAGGTTCTTAATCAAAGAAGTCGAAGGGGCTGCATTCACCAACATTGAAGATGTTGTACCTTTTGTAAAATGGCTCGATGATGAGCTCTCCTACCTGGTACAACAACGAACAATAAATTTTTCAATCGCTCTTAATCACCTGTAGTCTAGTCTCACATGCAAGTATTGTTAACTTGATGTAACTAGGTTGATGAAAGAGCAGTATTGAAACATTTCAATTGGCCTGAGCAAAAGGCAGATGCATTAAGAGAAGCTGCATTTGGATACAGTGATTTGAAGAAATTGGAATTCGAAGCCTCATCATTTCGTGATGATCTTAGACAGCCTTGTGCTCCAGCTCTTAAGAAAATGCAGGCCTTGTTTGAGAAGTACGATATGAAATCTCTGCTGTTATTAATATTTTTGATAAACTAGTTCTTGAAAAGAGTAATGCTATCTGTGCTAACTGGGTATGATCCACGCCTAACGCTTGCTTTTATTTGATACAGATTGGAGCATGGAGTTTATAATTTGTGTAGAATTAGAGAGTCTGCTACAAAGCGATACAAAGTCTTACAAATTCCAATCGATTGGATGCTTGATACTGGATATACAAGTCAGGTAAATGCATACATCGAACACAATTTATAAACACGCGATCTATCTAGTAGGCGATTCTATTTATTTTTATTCAATTGCGGAGTACTGATAATCGGAAACCTTTTACTAGTTGTTTGATTTTGCTGAAGGTTCTGATCCATAATAATAACTCTGTAGGTCCAAATCTTTCTATCAAGAGAGACCTAAAGGAATTTGCTATTTATGATTGATAAGAACTCAGTGTGTCAATATAGTTCCCCAATTATTAGTTGAACTGTAGGCCGAGATACCCTACTCGTCCAAGAATAATAAAATGGAGGATGGCTTTATATCCTCTGTTATTAGTTGATGTGTAAGCCGAGATATCCTATACCTCCAAGAATGATGAAAGGAAGGATGGCTATATAGTAGTTTTTAGAACCTGCTTGTTTTCATTATTTTTTATTGCTCGACCAACCACCATACTTCCAGTCCTCCACAAGCTTCCAGTACAGAATCCGTTATCGTGTATTGTACATATGATTAAGTGCTTTCCCAACTTTTGTCAATCACAATTAACATTACATGTGTAAAATTGAAAACCCTTTATCAGTTGATTGCTGGTAGGTTCATGGAAAGAGATGCAGCATGGACTCACTTTATTTGTTTATAATTGAGTAGGTAGTTCATACAGCTGTTAGTAAAGTGTAGAGGCAAAAACGAAACTGCATGGCACAATCTTTAGTGTTACATTGAAATTAATTGTTAGCTAGATGCCAAAATGAGTTGAAAGATTTTGCCTTGCACATGTCCATGCCTGCATGTGAAGTTTCTCTGTCTTCTATATATATATATTTAGCCCCCGTGCCCCCATTATTTGGGATTATAAATTTTGGAATAGTCTTTTTTTTGAAGAATGTGTGGTTAAAAAAGAAAAAAAAATTTCGATTAACGTATAATATTATTTTATAAAGATTGTGTGGTTGAAAATAAGAGAGAAAAATTATAATATGAAATAATGGGGGCCCAACGGGGCTTATTGTCTGTTTTTTACTTTTTTGTTTTTTTTGTCCAGTTATATAAGAATTTAGATTCTTCGTGTTGCCCTTTTTATACACTATTCACTAAGATGTTGCTACATTATTTAATTTTCCCTGATTGAACCTTTCAATGTTTGCAAACATAAAGTAGTTTCGTAACACGTCCTTGTTTATATCCTTCTATTTTTTTTATAATGAAATAGTTGAAAGGATGACTGTCAAGGGAGTGAACCCCGTGAAGACGTATAATAAACATTTGAACGTGTAATACGTTTTGAGTGTTCTTTCTTTCTAATAATATGTCAAATAGGTAAATTTTCGCCGCGATATTTGTCATATGCATTGTTCAGACGTTTCTTATTAACGATGTAGAAAGGGAAACAAGTATGAAAGTGACATTGAATTTGTACATCTGCCATGATGTTGAGGCTTTTTTGGCTTTATTTTTGTTCTGAAGTTTTATGTATTTGCTGTAATGATTGGGGCATGACAAAAGGAGTTTACAGTAGTAACTGTGTCTTCTATTGCAGATCAAGCTGGCATCTGTGAAATTAGCCATGAAGTATATGAAGAGAGTGTCTGCAGAGCTTGAAATCGTTGGAGGTGGTCCTGAAGAAGAAGAACTTGTAATTCAAGGAGTTAAGTTTGCCTTCCGAGTACATCAGGTAAAGTTGTACCAACTTTTGCCCACTTTAGTTTCTAAAACAATAACAAGTTTTAAGTCGGCTACTTCTTTTGCTTCCTTGTGGACTTCTCCAGTTTGCGGGTGGTTTTGATGTGGAAACAATGAGAGCGTTTCAAGAACTGAGAGACAAAGCTCGATCATGCAACGTGCAGTGTCAAAATCAGCAACAGAAAATTATTTTCCGGTCTTCTACAGCTTGCTAATCTATGTAGCAAATTAAACTCAGCTTCAAAAATACTCCCACATTTTGCTGTAAAGTACTATAAAGATCGAGTTGTGAATACAGTGTGGCAGACATTGTATGTTCAAATTAATTTATTAACTATAAGGTTTAACTTTTCTAACAATTGAAGGAAGGATGATCTCCCTCCTCCAAACCGCAAACCAGAAAAATTTCTGTGCTTTCCTCGAGAACATTGAAATGGAACTGTTATATGCAATATAAGATCAAAGTGTCGACTTGATGTGACATGAAATACAAATTTAATGGGAAATAGTGACAGATCAATGGTACAACATATCCATCAATTCCAATTCCAAGTCGACTTTGTCAGCTCTCAACTCTCAAATGAAGTTCTAGCTGGTGAACTCCATGTGACGTAAATAACTAAGCATTATTCTTATTCTAAAGGCCTTTATCTTGATAAAAGTTAGTGTGTGCCTAACTGGTTTGGGGAGACACGTTGCAATGCGGTGAAACATTTTCATAGAAGAGTTTTAACTCAGTCATAGATAGCTAGAAGCACGTCCCACTGGTTGATGGACTGATTTGGATTTGATGCTCAATAATTGGATTACTTGTGGAGCGAGATGGAAATGGTAATTTCTGGCAAGATTTTCAGCACCTTTCTTTTGACCTTGAATGCAATATTTTATCAAATTGGTCGAAGAGATATGTAATGTTCCATCCACGTTACACTACCACAATTAGCCTATTTGATGTGCAAACATAACCTACTCGCCAAGTCTATCAAAGGACTATTGTGAACTGATAAGTGCGTTTTACGCACCTATTTAGGCCACAAAATATGAAAAATTGCCGATGTATATGTTGAAATATTGCTTGATTTGATATAATTATTCAGAAGATGACTCGAATGACAAATCAAGTATGGAATTGAGTTAAGTAACACATTGTGATATCATGGAATGCTAGAAGAAGGAAGAGAAGAGAGCAAGGCCAAAAAGTAAATGAAATAAAATTTGGGAGTCAAATTGAATCAAATGGAAAATACTTTCTACCATGCAGTTGCATGGTAGAAACTTCATGATGTCGCCCAAGAGGTGGAAAAATTTCTGCCAAATTGTTATAACCATGCAATCGCATGGTTCATTTTCAATGCAAAATTTCTGGTTTCCTTGTTCGACCAAATCTCTTATGAAAATGTATTTTGACGCCCTATATGACCCTAATCTCGTCCAGAATAAGGGTTTACACATTATTTGAGAGAAAAAGGCATTAAAGAGCAAGGAAGAAGGCATAAACGCGAGATTTCCATTGAAGATTTAAGATTTCAAAATTTAAATTCAAGAATTAGGTGATATCTTCTCCTAAATATTTTTCTCGTTCTTTAATTTTATCCATGCTAAACTAGATTTTTAATGTATTGGGTGAACAATGAATCTCGCAATATGATCTTTTAGTTCTCTATTTTGCAATTTGATGTTCAAACACGATTGATACATGTTGAATGATTTATATACAATTTCTTGCCTTCATACTTAAATGCACGTGATTAAGTGAGTTTAAGTGGTCTATTTTATGTATTCGAAAGAGGGGAAATAGATTCTAGAAGGTATAAATCATCGTAGGGTCCGATAGGGGATAGAAATATACCGCTATACTTTACGTGAGTCTCTAAGTGTTTACAAAATATTATGCATTCTTGTATAGTGCATTTGTCATAGAAATATCTTCAAAGGTATGCGAGAATATATTCAATTCTACTCGAAAGAGATTATTGGATAAGTTAGAAACATTGATTTTTTAACCAATTCATCGTGTTATCGAATTGTGAAATAGAGGTTAAAAGTGAACTTGCTTGGTGATTCGGGATTCTAGTGCGTCATTCATTCATTAATTTCATCAAACTTTTGTATTCAACATAAATTTACACTCATTTAGTCACATTACCTTAAATTGAATTTTAGTCATAGTTTAGTCATAAAATCCAAATAACCAGCCATCTTGAGTTTAATAGATTCGGTTAAGGTTTTGATAATAGAAATCAAATCAAATCAATCCTCGTGGGACGATACTTGAAATTTTACAATTTTCACTTTATTACTTGTTAACGAACCGTACACTTAGTGTGATTTACAAAGCGAACATATTTTCGTGAACATGAACTACCGTCCTTCAAGTAAATTACCACTTACATCCAGCACTTGCAAGTCGCCACTTACATAACCTTCCCATATTAGTGATTCAGATGTACAAAAGTATTAAGCAACAAATATAGAAACAACCTGGAAAACTTGCAAAAGCAATCGCCATTTCCTCCACACTCGAGGATATTCTATTTGAATATCCATTACA